ATATATATATATATATTTATATGTATATACATATATATATATATATATATATATATATATATACATATATACATATATATATATATATATATATATATATATATATATATATATATATATATATATACATATAAATATATATATATATATATATATATATATATATATATATATATATAAATAAATATATATATCCATCTATCTATCTTATATATTATATAAAATATGTAGAGTTCGTAAACGAGTATTTAGTATTTGAGTATTTAGAGCAGCTGTACCAGTACCAGTTAGACCCTCCTGCAGTTAGTCTGGATGCAAGTGGTGACCCACTCAGCAGCAAGGAACCTGAAGGATGTGAAAGCTTCTTCTTCTTCTTCTCCTCCTGGCTTAATTCCCATCTTCTTCCATCGCTTCCGGTCCAGTGCGTCCTCCTCCATCACTCTCACAGCCTTCATGTCCTCTTTGGTCTTCCTCTCCTCCGCTGGCCCACTTCCATCCTTTTCACCCGATGTATCTGCATCTTCATAAAGTTTGGCAAATTTTTTTACGACCGGATGCCCTTCCTGCCGTCAACCCTCACCAATTTATCCGGGCTTGGGACCGGCTACTTTCAAGGCTAGAGGAGGCTCCCGTAACCCAACTGCATCCCTTTTGGGCAGCAGCGGGCCCAATAGGTGGGCTTCCAACCCGAGCCAAGCACCCCCAACCTGTACTGGTAGGCTGGTTTCGCCTCGTTCATCTTCTTCACCTTCTAGGAAACCTTACGAGAGAACTTTCTCTTGTACGTGTAGATCTTCCTGGCTTCCTTCGCAATATTGCGGATTGCGGCCATGATGGCGTTGACGCCGTTGAAGGATCCCTCCAGGTAAAAGGAACCCAGCCAGCCCACGGGTCTGAAGAGGGGCACGTGGAACTCACGCTCGAGCTTCTTCATAACACCTTCAGTCAGGGATTCCTTCATGTAGGAGGGGCAAAGGTAGTCCACGCCGTACCTCTTAACACAGATTTCCCCGTCACTGACTTGCCTGACAGTACACTGGGGATACTCCTTCTCGGGAGCTTCCATGGTAACTACATCGCCTACCTCAATGCCTTCCTTCTCGACTTTCTTCTCGGCTTTCTCCTCGGCTTTCTCCTCGACGTGATATCCCTGCTGAACTACAAATCCTTGTACAGAGTCCAGCATCCGGAGAACAGATGAATAATTTTCATATCCATAGTCAAGTTTGCTATGGATAAGTGCTCGGTAAAGTCGCAAAATGTGCGGTCTGCTTCCCAAGATAGGTGTAAAAGAACCTACAAAATACTAAGTGCTTTTCTAGCTTTCACCTTTAACTGTTTGATGTGAAGCTCCCATGCAAACCTTAAGTCCAAAAATAGACCCAAGTACTTCACCTCTTGGATAAAATGCAATGGGTTTGCTCCTAAATAGAGGGAAGAATGGAACTTTCCTTTTTTGTGGAAATGAATAGTTAATTGTTGTTGCGAGAAAATTTGAACCCATGGTATGTTGCCCACTGTGCAGCCTGCTCTGCTACAGTCTGCATGTGACCTGGCATATCCTGTAAGTTGTAAGCATCCTGAGCAGTATAGTGTGAAGTCGTCCACATACAGGAGATAACACTTGGAATGATCTATGCAATGTCATTTATAGCAATGGCAAACAGTGTCACACTTAAGAAACTCCCTTGTGGGACCCCTTTCTACTTGAGCCTCCATGTTAGAGAAGCTGTTTCTCCCCCACACTCTAAGCTCCCTATCATCAAGGAAGCTTTGTATGAAGGTAGATAATCTTCCTCTTAAACCAATGTCATACAGCTTCGTAAGTATGCCGTGCTTGCAAGTAGTATCATAAGCCTTTTCGAGATCAAAGAATACTGTTAACATGTGACATCTCTGTGAGAAGGAATTCTGTATAGCAGTCTCTATCTTCAAAAGGGCATCTGTGGTCAACCTGAAGTTGACCATTTTCTCCATCAGCTTGCAGATGCAGCTGGTGAGAGAAATTGGTCTGTAATTCTCTGGTATGGCAGTATCATTGCCAGGTTTGGATATAAGAATGATTATAGTGTCTTTCCATGTGGATGGAACTATACCCTCCCTAAAGATTCCATTGAATACGTCCAACAGGAACATTTGCAAGCTCTCTGATAAGTGAGATATCATTTGGTAGGGAATAACATCACTTCCTGCAGCAGTCTTATGACAAATCTGCAAAGCACAGTTTGTCTTACTGTGCATAAAGGCGTTATATGGTTATGCTACGGTCCAACTGACACTCCTGTTCAGCCCGAAGGGTGGAAAATCGGGCAGTGTAAGATGCTCCAGAGGAGATCTCTGTCATGGATTTAGCTAGCTCATTTGCAACATTTATTGGCTGTGAGGATTATGTTATCTATAGAGTGGGTGGTGACACGAATATGTTCTTCCCAGCTATCTTGCACACCTTATCCCATACCCATGCCAAGGGGCCTCAAAATTACTCAAGGTGACATACTGTCTCCACAACATCTGTATAGTCCCCTTTAGTACTCGCCTGGTCTTGCCTCAGGTCCTGGTCACTGGGGCGTTGTTTCAGCTTATTGGCATTCATCAGACCAATGGTACTGCCTACTACTTTTAGAAATGGATGCTTCTCCTACAAGGTGAATGCATGATGTGAAGGATTAGTAGCATTTTGAACGCACTGAAAATCATTCACAGATCCCTAAAGTACTGTAGTTGATCTAAGATTCCAGTCTGCATGTTCTAGTTGTCATCTCTTCACTCCATTGGCTAGAATGCCTTTCACCTCAACCAAAAATGTTGGAAAGTCATCGTTTCCATGTAAGTCTTCCATGACCTGTCAAGTGAACCATTTGACAGATTAGTATTGGAGAATGTCCCAGTTTGAATCTGGAATTGTGTGGGTGTGTCACTGTTCATAAAAAATGCATCTATTCTTGAGAGTAAGGACTCCAAGGCAGGTTACACAGAGCATCTCCCCAGAGGTGATGTCGGCGATTGAAATCTCCCAAGAGTAGAAATGGATGAGGAAACTGTCTCATCCAGGAAGGTAGATAGATGCAGCACTGTAACCCCGTGTCTAGCCCATCCTAACAGCCTTCACCTGTAGTGTCGTCTGCAGGTGAATTGCCTGGAAGGGAATATCCTGACATAACATTTCTGTTATACCTCCATGAGGTTCATTCTCAAAGGTCTCATAATGAGCTTGAACTTGGAATCCTCTTAGGGAAATCAGAGGATTTTCCCTGGTCATAAGCTCTTGTATGCATACACAAACTAGCTTACATAAAGCTATCAGATGTTGAATTAGGGTATCCAGTTCTTCAAGTTGACAAGCTACCTTTTTATACTGTGTTTGTCAGCAACTGTAGTTAAGGCCTGCCCAGTGCCTTCTTTATGCTTTCCCTTTCCAGCATCCTTTGGGAGGTTGTTTACCTGTGGAATTATTTTCCACAGGCTTCATTTCGTTAGGTTCAGGATTCCTTTGCATGGGGAAAGGGGCATTTTGTCAGCAGCAGAGGACCCTATGGGGTGGCAGCTGGAGCTGTCACTGTTAAGGTTTCTAGAGCCTTGTCTGACGTCTCCAAAGACCTTACTTTGGGAAGAGTCCTTTGGACAGGCTCAGGATTTCTTTGTCTGGGCAAAGGGCCTTTGCTTCAGGGACATTCTGTCTAGCAGCAGAGGCCCTTGTGGGTATGGTAGCAGCTGGAGCTGTCACCGGTGAGGCCTCTGGATTTGAGGACTGAAGTCGAACTGTAGTAGCAGAATGTGTGGTGCAAGAACTATGGGATGATGAGAAGTAGAACAGGATAGAACCTGGCTGTGTCAGCAGCACATGAGCATGCTGTTTCACCTCTGGAAAACTAGCTTTCTCCTTGCTACTTATTATCAATACTTTTTTTCAGATTTGTACTTTTTAAGAAGACCTAGTCTAGAGTACTGTGCTAGAATAATGATCTATTGAAAAAGTTACAGGATAATTTTAATAATAGTAGACGGGACTCCTCTCCCATATTGAAACGTCTAGGAAGAACGCACACACACACACACACACACACACACACACACACACACACACAACACGCACAAACCCTAGATATAGGTAAATGTCATATTTATATATGGGCCAAGATGTCTTGGCTGCTCCTAGGAGCGAGAAGTTGCTCCTTGGCTCCCCGCAGGGAGTCTGCCTGTCATCTCATACAGTGTTCTAAATACGGGTTTAAATCACGTGTTATCATGTGACAATCGGTGGTGATGAAAGGTTGTGTTACAACAATGCATAGCTCTTGTGGAAGGGGACAGACAACACAACATTGGAATGTCTATAGTAAGAAGAGATGAACATTCACTTAAAGCAATAATCATAAATGATAAATGCATATGTATGTATGTGTGGCGATGCGTTAATGGCAAACGTGTAAAACTATATAAAATATGTAGAATATAGTAATATGATATACATATAGGTAGGTTGCATATATACATACGTGTGTGTGTGTGTGTGTGTGTGTGTGTGTGTGTGTGTGTGTGTGTGTGTGTGTGTGTGTGTGTGTGTGTGTGTGTGTGTGTGTGTTTACGTACGGAGGTGGTGGGGAGAAGGATGGTTAGAAGGTGGGGTAAAGAGTAAATACGGAAGAGAAGGGAGAAGGTAGAGTGCGAAAGAGGTGGTGGGGAGAAGGGAGCGAAGAGAAGGGTGGATAGTAGGTGGGGAGAAGCGAGAGGAGAGAAGGGTGGTTGGGAAGAGTACGAAAGAAGTGGTGGCGAGGAGAAGGGAGAGAAGAGAAGGGTGAGTAGTAGGTGGGGAGAAGGAAGAAGAGAAGGGTGAGTAGTAGGTGGGGAGAAGGAGAGAAGAGAAGGGTGAGTAGTAGGTGGGGAGAAGGAAGAAGAGAAGGGTGGGTCGTAGGTGGGGAGAAGAGAAGTGTGGTAGGGAGGTGGGGAGAAGGGAGAGAAGGGTAGTGGGGCGGTAGGGAGGGTAAGCATATTGATCAGGC